AAGAAGTAGAGCTGGAAAACTATCGATGGCACTATCGATAGTATCGATGGTGTGTTACTATCGAAAACATCGATGGTTTTCTAAAGCTTGAAACACATTGCAGACGAACTACAGCTGTCAAATTATTTTGACACGTACTCTTCTGTAGATAATTATTTTGGCAACACTGCGTCTAGCCAAAAATGTAGCTGTGGTCAGATTAGTTCTATTTCTATATTTCGGTAGTAGTGCACATTACGGGAACCAGGTCAAAATGGACGGAACAAATCGAGAGTGATATCAATCGACGCGTTTTAACGCGAACAATAACAATCCGGGGGAGGCGGGGGAGGGGAATTAAGATTTTTAATTAATTTAAGAGTTATTCGCAAAAAACACTTGCACTTTGCACTTTTCGCACCATGTTTTGATGAATTTGATGCAAATAAATGGAGTAAATGAAAGTTGTTCTCTGCAAAAGGTGTTCAGCCCCCCTTTTTTGGCAACACAGAAAGGAGAATTCTACTGCCTACGCAGAAAGGTGTTCTCTTCAAATGGTGTTCAGCCCCCCTTCTTTGGCAACACAGAAAGGAGAATTCTACTGCCTGAGGGTTATAATTTCGGGTGGGCTTTAGTAGTCAGCCGCACCTTGTGTTTTAAGAAAACCAGGTGGAATTAACAAATGAAACTTGGTCAGGATGTTAAGGGAGGTATCCTCTAAAACATGTATAACTAAAAAATATAAATAATATCATTGTTTATAAGTTATTTGTTGTTAAAATCCCTTATTATGAGCTGCATTCGATTTTCGATCTTCGCTGGCTATCGAAGATCGAAGATCCAAAGTGAAATTCGTATTATGAGCTATGCAAGCGTGTCGAAATTTTCGTTGAGTATCGAATTTTCTGTCGAACAGAATTTTGCTTTCGATGGTGTAGCGAAGTGTTAGAAAATTGTGAAAAATTTATGATTTTGTGTATGTTTTCTTACATTTTGGCGGCTAGACACTAATTTTAAACAATTTTTATTAATTTCATGCAGTTCTAACATCGTGAATACTAAACACAAGCACGAAAGGCTGGTTTTACTTTTGAAAGAAAATCCCTATACTCTGTTGGCACGATGTCTGAGAACAAAATCGTAGCGCTGTTGATAGTTTTAAAATATTTTAAATAGATTTGGCTCACAAACGCCTCTTTAGATGGTCGGAACTTTTTAATGAATCTGTAGACAAATTTCTTAAATATATTTTATATCAAAATATATTCGAAAGACTAATAAACTTAAACTCTCTTAAACATTTGCTACTCCTGGCCAGTTTACTAAGCTCTCATCCTCTGACGAATCGTTGAACCAGAACTCGTTGTACTCATTTTACCACGTTTTTATAAACTTGCTTTCTTTTTTACTTCATTTTAATTAGAACAAATTTACATAAATATGTATAAGCACACTATTTAGTTTGCTCGATTTGTAAACAAAGCTTCTCAGCGGTGAAAAATATACTATTGTGAACAACCTAAACGAGCGAAATTCACAATAGCGCTGTTCTTCATCGAATGAGCGCCATAATACCAAATGAAAATTCGTTCGCTCAGCACTTTCGACCACAGTCGAAAATCGAATGCAACTCATAATAGGGGCCAAAATTTCTTAAGTCGTTCCACTTGGTTTGCTTAACAAAAAAGCATTTGTGCATACTTTTATATATCTAAATACACATAACACTGTACTTAATACTTTACACACTTTTCTTTTATTTTATCTTGTATATAAATCACTTTAATTAAACTTTTATCGACTTGTAAATTACATTGAGGCCCCTATTATGAGTTGCATTCGATTTTCGACTGTGGTCGAAAGTGCTGAGCGAACGAATTTTCATTTGGTATTATGGCGCTCATTCGATGAAGAATAGCGCTATTGTGAATTTCGCTCGTTTAGGTTGTTCACAATAGTATATTTTTCACCGCTGAGAAGCTTTGTTTACAAATCGAGCAAACTAAATAGTGTGCTTATACATATTTATGTAAATTTGTTCTAATTAAAATGAAGTAAAAAAGAAAGCAAGTTTATAAAAACGTGGTAAAATGAGTACAACGAGTTCTGGTTCAACGATTCGTCAGAGGATGAGAGCTTAGTAAACTGGCCAGGAGTAGCAAATGTTTAAGAGAGTTTAAGTTTATTAGTCTTTCGAATATATTTTGATATAAAATATATTTAAGAAATTTGTCTACAGATTCATTAAAAAGTTCCGACCATCTAAAGAGGCGTTTGTGAGCCAAATCTATTTAAAATATTTTAAAACTATCAACAGCGCTACGATTTTGTTCTCAGAGATCGTGCCAACAGAGTATTGGGATTTTCTTTCACAAGTAAAACCAGCCTTTCGAGCTTGTGTTTAGTATTCACGATGTTAGAACTGCATGAAATTAATAAAAATTGTTTAAAATTAGTGTCTAGCCGCCAAAATGTAAGAAAACATATACAAAATCATACATTTTTCACAATTTTCTAACACTTCGCTACACCATCGAAAGCAAAATTCTGTTCGACAGAAAATTCGATACTCAACGAAAATTTCGACACGCTTGCATAGCTCATAATACGAATTTCACTTTCGATCTTCGATAGCCAGCGAAGATCGAAAATCGAATGCAGCTCATAATAAGGGCCTTATTTTCAGGCATATTTACAATAACACATGGTTGCAAACTGACACATAACATGTGTTGCCATATTGTACAAAACAATACATACAAAGAAGGCAATGATTAAAAAGGAATACAGGGGAAATCAATACAAAAGAAAATGTTCAGCTCCTTTTTTTCGCAAAACAGAAAGGAGAATTCTATTGCCTGAGGGTTATAATCCCTAAGTGCGGCCGAAGGCCGCCTACGCAGAAAGGTGTTCTCTGCAAAAGGTGTTCAGCTCCTTTTCTTCGCAAAACAGAAAGGAGAATTCTCTCCGAGTCGGATGAGCATTGGCTCACTAAGGTCCAAGCTCGGCTCGTCGCTGCGGTAGATTCGAATGGTTGCGTCATTAAACCCGAATCTCACCACCCAATCCTTTTGCTCCAGTGGGGCTATCGATTCGGCGTTGAGGATCAGCAACACCTGCCTTCTATTCTCTACTGGCTCCTCTATCTTCCCTACCCTCCAATTGTGAGTTGGCAGGTCCTTATTACAGGATCTGAAGATCCGCTCAATTCTTTCAGGCTCGGCGGGTTTAGCCGGAATCCAAACTCGAGCCCTCGGTCTGCTAGGAATATCTTCCTTGCTGACGGCCTCGAGCTTGGCTCCCGGCCAAACTTCACCTACCTTACTAACGGCCAACCTATAGAGCTGGGATGACCTATGGTCCTCGCAGGCGATGAGTTTACCATCCGGAATCATGGCAGAGAGGAGGAGGTCCGGGATTTTCTTCTAGGACTTGGTGGTAGATTTCGGCGATCGCTTCCTCCACCAACCTCCACTTCTCTTTGGGGATAGTCCCTTCCTCTTCCCCTCTGTCGATGATGGCCAGTACCTCACCGCCTCCCTTCACTACGTCCCTGAAGGTGGGGAATTTATGGCCGCCTGTTTTCGGCCTTTTGGCGACACCACCCCCTGCCTGTTCAGCAGACCGCTGCCTTATTGGAGCAGTGCCTGCCGGTTTTCCCAAGCTGGCTACTACTCCCCTCGCCCACTCCAGTGACCTAACCTGCTCCTCCGTGAGCTGCTCTATCGGCAGGTCCCCGTTCACGACCCTCATGGCCGCCTTTTTGTCATAATATGCCTGCTTCGAGGGGCGGACATGTTTAGCCGGCCCCCCCAGGCCTGTGTTTGCAGCTTTTCTCGAGCCGTTTGGAATGTCGGCAGCATCCTGCCGGGTTAGTTTTGAAGCTAGTGCCGCACCCCGCCCTTGGGTTAAGGTGTGTGTGCTTTGGGGTCTGACTTCCCTAGGCGGAGCTGACGCTGCAGCTCTAGCCATGAATCGGTTGGAGACCGGTCTGCCCAAGCCTCCAATCCCCCTCTGCCTCCTATGGTACTCGTACCAGGACCAGCCCTACCGCTTAAGCCCCCTCTACCTCCTGTCACTGGCGGTCCGATAAATGCCCTGCTCGAGGCTGTAGCATTAACTGGAGCCACCCCTGTCGGTTTTTTTGGATTGCCGTCCTCCTTTGCGAATTTTTGATTGAGTTTAATTGTGCTCATAATTTTTGGTCCCACGAGTGTCGGACAATGGAGGTCCGCCCGCACAGAGGTCCGTGTGCGCAGGTAAGGCTTGATAGGACCGGAGGTCGCCAGGTATCCGGAGCACTCCGTTCGAGACTGGGCTATTTGTTAATCTGGGTCCCCAGCCAGGCGGAACATCAGCACGGGTCGTCTAACACCTTGTTCCAACCCAGAGCTTTTTTAAAGAGGTTTGCTCCTCCATTACCTCCATAGGCCACGATCAAAAACCATTTCCATATAACTTAGCTATTGAAGAGCTTAAGCACACAGCACTGATATCTGGTCTTAGCTGGACATCATTCTGACATCGTACAGAACCTAAATTAAGGGCTCGCTTGAAATATGTACATGAAGATGTATGGAAGTGCGCACATTACACCAGCTTAATCGCTCTGACCAATAGGTTGTGGTGCAATGGAAAGACTAGCGAGCACATCTAAATTGGCGGCCGATAAAGTCCGTGGTGTGCGATGGATCTAATCCATTATAAACAAGAAATATTGCTGTTATATTTTCATTTTTATGATTTTTATTCATGTGATTAGCAATGGCAAAAATGTATGTATAAAATACGTATATTTATATTAAAAATTAAGTGATCAGTTATGAAACATATAAATCTTACATGTTCTGTTAAAAAATATCTAAAATAACAAGCGATAATCCCCAAGTTCTATATCGTAGCAGTGGCCACATTGCGTGTTTGTCACAGACACGGTTTATGTCAAAAATTTTGAAGTGAAACTACCTTCTAAAAATTATTGTATCATGGTTTCACTACAACCGACATCGATAGTTTCCAAAAACTAGAAGCGACAGTTTTCAACTATCGATAGTATCCCACCTCTAATGGTTTATAAATCATGGATTTCGGAGAATTAAGGAATGATGAAAAGTTTTCAAATTCTGTGCTTAACTTTTCCAGAGCCCTAGATAAAATTGAACAGAGCCTCAATACGGCTGTAGAGTTTAAGGATTTCGAAGAGCTTTCAACACGAGAAAAAGTAAAACTGGATACTTACCTCGCCTATGCCATAAATTCGTTATATTGGATGCATGTTAAGTTGCGCGGAGATGATCCAAATGAGGTAATGGAAGCTGTTAAATAAATTTGTTAATTTTACATTTACATTATCATATATTTGTTTACAGCATAGTATTAAAAATGAACTATCACGAGTACGGCAGACTATAATTCGCGATAAACAAATTTATGATCGAAATACCATCCGGCCGGTGTTGGATAAAGCTGCTGCTGGGAGATTTATTCAGCATGGTTTACATGTAAGATTTGACGAAAATGGAGAGCGTATTACTGAAAGTTCCTCAAATATTAAAGCCGGCATAGGTACGGCCATGGATACAGATTCATAGGTATTTCGAAAGGGACATATGCTAATAAAAATTTATGGAATACCACTTTATAAGAACATATATATGCACTTAAATTAAAACAAGTTTGATGTATTGAACGAATAAACATCTATCTGTGTAAAACCCATTTCATAGTATATTGGAAAAAATTAGAACCATAGTAACAAAAGAGAAAATGAAATTTAGCTCATCCTCGAAGATAAAATAAGACAAGCGCTCATAAATATTTCAATTCGATAATGGATTGGATTTCGAATTCATAACTAAGGGAAAATACATTGTATTACGAAGGTTCCGTTTTACAGGAGAATGGCCAAGTTCTCCAATTTAAACTAATATAATTCCACATTCATTATCGAAGGGGAAACTTGAAAAAAAATCCAATCATTTTCGAATTATTAACCAAGCCCAATGTTTATTGCAAGGCGAATTAATATAAGGTGATAGCAGGAGTAAAAAAAAAAGTTCATGAATTTTGTTTTTGCTTTGGCGGCATAAACTGTCGAAATCTGTAAAGGCGTGTGTAGTGAAAAAAGTGTGTGTAGAAATTCAAATAAAATTTTTCAATTTGATATCAGAAGTGCGATTCCCATTTTTCTTAACGACCGATATTCGTTATTGATTATGAACGACGTTTGTAGCTTGCAGTAGCGAATAGGCTATTCTCAAAAACACAATTATCAATTACAAAATAGCTACAGTATGACGGACTTTTAAAATTTATGCAAATGTTATGCAACGCTGCACAAACATTGCCAAATTGCGCCATCTTTTCAGGGATGTAACGATTTCTTTTATCATTACCGAGAATTTTCCATCGGCTCTTAAAAATACCAATGGTGCCTTCAACAATGCACTATCTCTGAACTGTGCAAAACGGATGCAGAGCGGGGCAGTTGAAACTTGCGGTGTAAATGTGCAAATGCTCGCTACTCGTACAATACGGAAATAGCTCAGCGAAAAGACCTCCTACTCAAGCATCGTTGGTCGCTTTTTTTATAAAAAATGTGACAAAAAGGGAATCTTTAAAAGAAAAGAAAAAACGAAAAAAAAATATCCAAAAATCTAATCTTAGGGCGGTATTATCATTTGCGAAGCGAATGAATTTGGCGAAGCGAACGGATTGGCGAACGCAACTTAAATATGCGTTAAGAGTGTTCGCTTTTACCAGCTTGTGCAAGTTCTTTGCACAGCGAACACTTTTAATACCAATACCAAGGCGACCAATACCTTCTTTGCCTTTTAATTCGCTTCGCCAAACCGTTCGCTTCGCAAGTGAACATACTACCCTTAAAAACGTTTTCCTGTAAAAAAAAAAACTGTCCAAAACGGAACCGGGTAAACACTAGTTGCAAAGTAATGCACTGGGCGACAATTGCCACCGCCAATGACATCGCCGTGTAAAACTGGGCTGTTGAAAGCTAGCTAGTGAGCTAGTCAGATTTTCTGCAGGGTATGTACTGTACATCTGTATGTATGTATATGTACATACATGCATAATATGTAGGGCTGCCAGATATCTCTGTTGCCAAACCGGGGGACACTTTAGGGAGGGCCTCTCGCTCCCTTCCCTTTCATTTCGACGTGCGAAAGGATGTAGTGAAACTTTTATTTGACAGACAAAAACAAAAACATAAAAACATGAGATCATGAGATCATTACAGCGTACGCCAACAAAACAAAACAACTTATTACNCCTCTCGCTCCCTTCCCTTTCATTTCGACGTGCGAAAGGATGTAGTGAAACTTTTATTTGACAGACAAAAACAAAAACATAAAAACATGAGATCATGAGATCATTACAGCGTACGCCAACAAAACAAAACAACTTATTACCACAATATAACCAGTAAAGAACCTTCGGTGAATTTGGCGACTGCCTTCCTCGGGGATGAATATGCTAGGGATGAAATTATTGGTACACACGCCTTCCAAGCACGCAGGGTTGCTTTTAAGAAACACAAAATAATTAACTTCAAATAGTTTCAAAAAGTATAGTGTAAAACGAAATTTATTGAATAATTCCACATAAAATGGTATACATAAATGACTCATTTTTTAAACGATTTAAATAAAACGCATTTCATAACCTTTTTTGAGCAAACGACATTTGCGAATTGGTAGAACAGTACTACGGATTTTAAATTTTTGTTAACTATGCGGTGAATGAAAATTTTCAACCCGGCCTGACGGTTTTGAAGATTTTTTTGTTCTAATTTTATTACTAAGGCGTCTAATAAATGCATGACTTTTAGTTCTAGAAGAATAAAAGTCAGTAAAGACAAGTCTTTTTTGTATAATTTCTGATTTTAATTGCTCAAATTCTTTTGCACCAGAGCAACTGTCAAAAATTTCAGCAGTAAAAAGTTGCGAATTAGCACAGCAGAAATGTAAAATTTTCTCGCCATAATAAAAAGTTTTTTTCAACATGGAACTTTTCCAACTGATAAAAAAGAGAAAATTTGGAAAGACCGAACAAAAATTTCTCGTTGTGAATACGAATGCCATAGTTTTTACCTAGCTCGTGGGACTACGCAAACAGCTTGTAAATATGTATACACATAAAGTTGTTGGCGGTAATAAAGAGTCAAAATCAAAATGGGGAAAAGAACAAAAAGCGTACGTTAGTTGTCAGTTGGCAGCTCGCACGTTGTCTAAATTCTCAAGTAACATAAAATCACAAAAGAAACATTGCTTGTATTACCATCAATACGCCATGTATAAATTTTAACAACACACAAAAATAGAGCTATCGCACGAGTGTTTGTTTGGTTTTTCAACACCATTTATAATTTTCTTTTAATAAAATCACGATTTGTCAAATGCTTAAATTTATTTATCTCATAATGCAGCACACAACCCTGAAATCTAAGAAAAAGTCTGAGGAAGGCCATTAAATAGCAGCACACAACCCCGTGCCTTCCTCAGGAGTGAATATAACTACAACAACAACGACTACTACAACAACAACCCAAAAAGGTTGGTTACTGTCTATACTGTGCTTATTACAACTAAAGCACAGAGAATTTTTGACATTCCATGAACCTTTTTTATTCTTTATTCAAAAACAGTTTATACTAAATATATGAAAAAACATAAAAATAACATTGTTAAACTTTGTGCTAAACTCGGGAAAATTCAACAAATTTGCATACAAATTTGCAACATTCTAATCAGACTTTATAAAAATTTTTAAAATGAAGTTTTGCAGCCCATTAACTTTTAGTTGATTTTTGGTATTGTTTTTACTGATAGTTTCTTCCATACAAACTATGTTCGATAATTCTTTATATATGGAAGACACTGTCAGCAAAAAATATAAATGCTAAAAATCAACGAAATTTGCTGGCAACTTCGGCCTTGCACTTTATTAATTGGCTCAAAAGCTACATTTTCAAAATTTTTCTAAAAGATCTGATTAGAAATTGTGATCTGATGAAAGAGTCTCTGAGCCAATAATTTTGTACGGCACTGTACTTATAAGTACTCTAGGTTTCATGAAAGAAAAAAATATAAGTACAAGATAACATTAAAATATCAGTCATGTTGTTGTTGTTGTAGCAGCATACAAATTCCCCAAAGACTTTTTGGGGAGTGTTGCTGGAGTGACAGTCCTTGGCCAGATATAAATCTGGGTCGTTCCGGTTACGTAGACCCGACTGTCGTGGGAACGACATCATATCAGTCATATTTTTCGTTGCTGTGAACTTGTTTCAAAACTTCTGTCTTTTCCTTAATATAATTGTAAAACTCTGTGCACGTCATTTTGAACGTATTTAGGTTCATATACTAATCATCAACTATTGCTTGTCCAAAGTTCAACTATCTCGAAATGTAACTATTTCACAAATTAAACCGGTGCACTGAGAGAAAGAAGTTTAGAATTAAAAAAGCGTGCTAAATTAAAAAAATACGCATATGAAAGAGCACCAACCCAACTCGTAATACATTTAAGTATACAAATTGGCGTATTTAGTATAGAAATATTCAATTCAAATAGGCCCATATTAAAATGAAGAGATTTGCAATTACCGATTTGCTTTTTCATAATTAAGTTAAAAAAGTATTTAAATACACTAGAAGAAAAAGCCTAAATTGCGCAACCTAGTAGAAAACTAGCATCTAACCGTGGTTGCGCACATTTGGCATTAAAATCTACTGAGGTCTAGAAATAAAAGATACTGATGTTTTGTATTTTGACGTTTTGGAATTCACCCAAACTTTCAACATATAAAAACTTAAAATTTAAACCAAATATATTTTCTTATTAAAATATCATATAATTGATATATGTAACATTTATATATGTGATTAAAGCCACTCACATTTCCTATTTAATGACATCAAAATTTTTAGAATACGTGCGATGGGTTTCGAGATACATATATGGATTTGAAAAAAGCGCTACATTTGACCTCTGTGTTGCCGAAGAAAAGGGGCTGAACAACTTTTGCAGAAAACAACTTTCTGCGTAAGCGGCCTTCGGCCGCGCTTAGGGATTATAACCCTCACCAAGTAGAATTCTCCTTTCTGTTTTGCTAAAGAACACCTTTTGCAGAGATATTTCGTGGAGTTTTTTTACAGCTCAAATCATCAGTCATCTTCGTCATCCATTTTGCGAACGTCCGAACGGGAACTTTTAATCGCTATTCACTTACCATATAACATTTGTGGAAAATATTTTTATTATTGATCATGATCCCACTACATTCTAATTCTAATTCTAAAAATCTAATGGGTCCATGGGTATTGATGATGACTACTCATGACGAAAAATTTGTGTTCATTCAGAGCCTACTACAGTTTTTATAATGAAAAGTGTCTCCAAACGGAACGTCCGCAACGCAGGAAACACCATATCGCACACTAAATCAAAAACCGGCACAACTCAAAAAATCCTAAATTTTCAGGAGGCAAAAAACTGTTGACGCTGCGCAATCGACGCAAGCAAAACTAAAAATTTTAGTAGTATTTTTCCAGTTAAAGAAGATAGTGATGAAGAAGAAATTTTTGCGGACGTTGGGTGTACGGTCTGTGAACTGTTTTATGGAAAAAAATTAATTTTGACAAATTTTGAGTTGTGCCGGTTTTTTATTTAGGGTGCGATATGTAATGCCTTTGACTTACCAATAATAAAGTTAATATATAAATTTTTTTATTGTTTCCTCTGTGATTACACATATCACTTTATTTTTATGTATTCAACAAGATTTACGATTCAATAACTTTAGTTGAATGTACATACATACATAAACATAGCTTTAAAAGTTTAATAAATCTGCAATAGAACAATCTAGTAGAAGCGAAACAAGATGATAAAATTGTATTTAAGCATTTCATACGTACATACGTAGAGAACAATGCGCTGGGGTGCTCAAAACTTCTATATATTTCTAAATAATCTCTTTTTAGCTTGTGTAAAATGCCAAATTTCTCTCATGGAAGTGAGCTTTTGTGCCGGCATAATGAATTCTTATATAGATTCATTGCTTTTCTGTATATGTATGTACCTTTTTTGCCATTTCTGTATGCATATATATTTCATGTTACATAATATTAACTACGTGCTAAAGTAAGATAATCGGAACAATTTAAGTGAAATGTGATAATATATGTATGTTTACAATATTTGTAATGCTAACAGTGCCCGTTCTTCTATTCTCTCTATCCGATTATAAGTTTCTGCTTTACAATGCTTTTAACCAGGAAAAATTCATATTCGTAACTTTTTACTTAAGTCATTTATTACAGATAATTTTGGTTGATGTTTCTTCCGATAATTAGATCTTATTGTATTATACACATTTGACTTTATTTTGTAAGTATTGAAGCAGTAAATGTTGTTCCTGTTCGGTTTTGAGGTCGTCCATTGGATTTAAATGATTCATGTGTTGAAGGTATTTTTTAAATCCAAATGGGCACTACTTCTCTGTCTTGTGTTGCTCTTATCCAATTTAATCCTTGCTCTGCATGTATTTAATCAGATCAACGACACGGTTGGAATATCCAAATTCGTTATCGTACCATGAGATTAACTTCACGAATTGGTCGTTGAGAGGGATACCAGCCTTGGCGTCGAAAACCGACGAATGTGTGTCACTGACGAAGTCGGTAGACACGACTTCTTCATCGGTATAGTCTAAGATTCCCTTCATTGGGCCTTCAGAGGCTTCCTTTACCTTTTGCTTGATTTGATCATAGGTGGCTGGCTTGCCCAATCGCACAGTCAAGTCAACAACTGAGACGTTGGGAGTGGGGACCCGGAAAGCCATACCAGTCAGCTTGCCATTCAGTTCTGGGATAACTTTGCCAACAGCCTTAGCGGCGCCAGTAGATGCAGGAATGATGTTCTGAGCGGCACCACGTCCATCGCGCCACAATTTGCCTGAAGGACCGTCGACGGTCTTCTGTGTGGCAGTTGTAGCGTGTACAGTGGTCATCAAACCCTCCACGATTTGGAAGTTGTCATTGATAACTTTAGCCAATGGAGCCAAGCAGTTGGTTGTGCAAGAGGCATTAGATACGACCTTCATGTCGGGGCTGTATGCGTCCAAGTTGACGCCGCACACGAACATTGGCGCATCGGCAGACGGTGCCGAAATAATGACTTTCTTGGCACCACCCTTGAAGTGAGCAGATGCCTTATCGATGGTAGTGAAAACGCCAGTGGACTCGACGACGTATTCAGCTCCAGCGCTAGCCCAGTTAATGTTGGCTGGGTCGCGTTCGCTAAAAACAGTGATCTTTTGTCCATTTACTACCAGAGCTCCATTGTCAGCAGAAACAGTGCCCTTGAAACGACCATGAGTCGAATCGAATTTGAACAAGTAAACCATGTAGTTCACATCGATAAAGGGATCGTTTACAGCAACCACTTGAGCACCTTTATCGACGGCAGCACGCAGCACCAGACGACCGATGCGACCGAATCCATTAATACCGATTTTGGACATTATTCACTTTATACTTGGCTTAATGATTTCGAATAAATATTTTATGAAAAGAACTACCGTTCAGTTCACTTGCAAAGAGACAACTGAGAAAGAAAAAGTTCCCGCTACAAAGCTCCACCAGAGTAGTTGAAAGCCGGCTAGCCCAATGTCAGTTGAAGGGCATTCGAGTTCATCCACGAAGATTTGCAAATTTGCTGCGCTGCATGATTCAATAATACAAGGTTCGATAAACTGACAGTTGTCTCTCTCGCACCGCTCCCTTAGCAGTGGCACCGTGTTGCTTCTTTGCAAATTTACATGGAAACAGTGTAGCTTTGTGTGAAATAAAAGTATAAGCTTTTGTGCAATATGTTTATTTGTATATGCATATGAAGCATATTTAAATGATGAAAACATAAGCATTGGATGTTTACATCAATTCATAGTAGTCTTATTTTAATTTTGAGTCATTTTGCAGGTTTTATACGGCTAAATAGCATATAAATTACGTAATACACGTAGATATATCAATATTACGTTCAACATTTCGTTTAAAATGCCAGATTTCCTGCAAATACATTAGAATTTACAAAAGGAATTTCACTACTAATTGCCTACTTTGCGTACTTTTCTACTACCATTTTCGAAACAAGGGATTGCATTCTTGCCCTTTCTCTGTCCTTCGTAAATGCAACCTTTTGTAAGGGAGTGTCAAACCGCAGCTGTCAATAATTATCTAACCTTGTATTATTGAATCATGGCTGCGCTGGAGATTCGTCCCCCATTTATAACAACCATTGGTTAGAAGAACACGACTAATGTGTTATACGAAAAGCTTTCAGAACAGGGTTGCCTAACTTCCATATTTATTGGTGTGAATATAATAAAGAGCGAAATACACCATAAAGGCGGCTTCACAAGCCAACTACTACATCTATATGTACGTAAAGAGCGCAATACACCACATAAGCGGCTTGTCAAACACATCTACTTGAAACCAAGGGATATTAAACAGCAGCAGGCCTGCAGTTTTAAATTTTTTCTATTTCGTGAAAAGTTTTAACTGTCAAACTTTGCTACATTCATATACAAATTCACATGCACATACATTAGCATATTTTTGCTTGCTTTTGATTGATCCAGCATGCCTACATTTCATTCTGTTTTGACATTCTAGGTTTCTCAAGCAACAGCCATTAGCTCTTTAATATGCCTTGCTTCAAGCCTACTTTTTCCATATTGCCATACACTATGCAAACAGGACTCGTTGAAGCCAAGAATTTTAGTTTTCTTCCGGTTCACAATGTAAAGATTATGCTTTTCTTCCATTTACCTCCCTAACGTTCTCACTCGGAAAAAATTCCATTGCAAATGAGGCGAATTTATCATTCACAACGCAAGCGGTTTGATCAAAATGAGCATGGCGGCCAGGAAATCAAAAAAATTTTGTTTTTGTTCATATTTCCCTCAAACAGATTCATGCTCAAACAGCTTGTAAAACCTTCAAACACCACCTACACAACACAAATAGCTTGAAGCAAAGGGATATTTCGCTAGGTTTGTCAAGCCGCTTGTGTTGTGTATTTCGCTATGGCCGTGGTTATGCCACCAATTTTAATTGGCAATCAAAAGAGAAAAAAATCGTGGATTGGTGAGAAGTGGTTACGCTTTGTTTGCTGTTTGGCGAGCACAGGGTTGCTTCTTTAGAAATGCCTTTTTCCATTTGATACAGTTTCGCACATAATGGCAGAACTGAAGTAGAAATGCAACTAAAAATGCATCAAAATTGAAGTCGGAAAATGAAAAATGGAAGAACAGCTTAATATTCTTTCTTTCTTTAATATTTAATTTTTATAACAAAATTTTTTTTAATATCTACTTTATAATAATAATAAAAAATATTTTTTACAATCTAAGATTTAATACTAAAACTTTTTCGCAAAATAGCGTATTGCCACCCTGAAAAATTGGCGTGCTGGCTGTTCGGTTCACCCAGCAAATCGTGCTGGCTGCTCGATTTCGAAAATTCTCACACTCCGTGCTGTGCACAACAATTGCACGGTGATTGCGGATCGAAATTGGTGGCGTAACCACGGCCTATTAAGATAGTTGCAAATAAAAACAATTTGCGGTGTTCACAGTTCGTTCAACATTGTGTCTCAAATTTAGACGTCTATATAAAATTGGAAAACGACGCCGTCAACGTTTTGTCATACTCAAAGGTATGTCTCTTAAGCAACCTCGTAACAGGGTTGCATTTAGTCTGTTCCAATAGCAGTCCGGTTTACAGGATTTAGTCAGAACTTACAGGAAGTCGTCCCTATTGACATAAAACCTGTAAATGGGAACACTTTTGAGAGAGAGTAACTGAGTAACTGTTCCTAGTCAGAAGTTACAGGATTGAGTCCGGAGTTTTTTTTCCTGTAGGTTCATGAAAAGTGTCAAACGATCAGCTGATTTGCATGTGCAAAAAAAACAGGAAGCGGTGAAAGCATAGAACCTTATATTTGTAAATAAATGGTAGTAAACAACGAAATATTTGAATATGTTAGTGATATTTCAGCCAAATCAGTGTTGTACAAATGACATGTAAACAAACCAACTGACGTTTTTACAGGAAATAGTGCTTTTGGCGTTCCTATGCACTTCTGCATCTGTTCTCCTTTTACTCTCATTTGAGAGCGTAAAATTGCAGTTTGACAGTTCCACAGGTTTTAGTCCGAAGTTCAAAGGAACAGACTAATTAAATCATATTTTTTATTGGAGATAGAGATGACAAAAAAAAATCGATTAATTAACCATATGATTAATCACAATAAAAAAAATTGCAATTAATTGCATATTACATAGGCATTTTTTACAGCCAGTATTTAAAAACATTTTTTCATAAACAATTTCTTATTATTCTGTTAATTAGCCTTAAATAAAATAAAACGAGTATTTTTAGCCCCGAGAATTATTTATTATTTAACCATGGCGGCCGCTGTAGTGGCAAGCAGTGCGCGCTTCCACTCCGCACTGCCTGGGTTTCAGCCCTGGTCAAAGAAATATCGCAAAAATATGTAGAAAAAAGGCTTTCTTCTTAACAGCAAAGAACGTAAATCTATAACACAGTATATACAGTAATAAACCTTTTTGAGTACTCCTCGGGGGTAAAATCTGATCAGGGTTGATAATGAGAAGGATCATGAATTTTGTTGATTCAGAGTTGTATACAAAATTATTCTGGTATGAAAGGGAGCAAAAACCGTACCTTGGCAGAGTGACACANAAATGACGGTCATTATGCCCATAAAATGACGGTCATAAAACCAGTAAATTCCTTAAGAAAAAATTTGGTCATTTGACTAGTAAAAACCAGAGTAGCTGTGACGGGTGTAAGCAGTGCAGCTATACATTTAGCTAAGCGCACAAGACATGAGGGAGAGCGAGATGTAAAGTCACACGTACGGGAACATAAAGAAAGAAACGGTCACAAAATCTACCGATGCCCTTAAGAATGTGATGGGAAAAATACGGAAAGTTTCAGTCATGGCTCCAGGTCATTTTACTAATCATTTGACCAGTATCTTTCTTGCAGGGAAGTCATGACTGTGTAATAGTGCCCGAAACTATTGCAAAAGTGTAAAAACATTGCAAATTTTTGTCTATTATTATAGATACTAGTATAGATTGTCATAGTTCAGTGTATAATTTGTTATATTACACCGCACATGATAATGAACTGTTAAATGTTGAAAATGCTTGTAACTTGTAGATCACTCAAACTTAGGTGTGCTTAATGGACTGTCTGGGCGGATGTGATGACAGTCATTGGGATCTGTATAGCTATACAAACCTTGTTTTTTTTTTAATAAAGACTTAAATATATTCGGAAATTTAGAATTTGGCTTGATAAATTCACAAAATTTACGGTTTTCATAAATAATTTAATCTTACAATGGACTTTTTTTTTATTTTAAACTTACATTTAAGAAAACTCCATTCAATGCTATAATTACGATTTAAGTTTTCCAGTTTCCAGTTTATAAAGCCACAGATCAAACAATGCATATTTATGTGTAAAGTCTGCACTATACATAAGCAGAAGATACGCACGCAGATCATGGCAGCTCTTCCACCTGAACGCTGCACTTTCGCTCTGCCCTTCACTACCACTGGTGTTGACTTTGCTGGGCTTTCCAGATAAAGGCTTCCATGTTAAGGACTTCAACCTTTACGAAGGGTTATGTGGCTGGCTTTGTATGCTTTACGACAAAGGCAGTACACCTCGAGCTATGTTCTGATCTGACAACTGCGGCTTTTCTCGCGGCATTTGCTCGCTTCGTCGGACGGCGAGGATTTCCATCCAAAATAATGAGCGACAATGGAAAAACCTTTGTCGGAGCCAAAAGAGCCACTGAAAAACAATTTATAAAGTTTATGGAGGAAGTCTCGCCTGAAATCGTTAAAATATACGCACCCCAAGGCATTGATTGGCAATTTATCCCACCAAGTGCCCAACATATGGGTGGTCTATGGGAATCAGCTGTCAAAAGCTTCAAAACACATTTTAAAAAAGTCGCTGGCACACACAAATTTAACTTTGAAGAATTTACTACATTATTAACCCGAATAGAAGCCGTTCTTAACTCACGGCCCCTCTCTGCGCTCTCGCAAGATCCCTCCGATTTAACTGCCCTCACCCCTGGGTATTTTCTTAGAGGAGCTCCACTTCTGGCAATACCCGAACCAGACGAGCAATCGATGGGAACGAATGAAAATTCTCCATCACGAATTCAGTCGTAGATGGAAGGAAGGTTATTTAAAAGACCTCCATAAAAGGTATAGGTGGAAGAACACTCAAGAGGAACCTAAAATCGGAGAATGTGTTCTCATCCACGATGAGTGTCTTCCCCCGCCGAGTGGCGCCTCGCAAGAATCGAAAAATTACATCGTGGCGCCGATGGTCACATAAGAGTCGTAGATTTGCGCACACAAAAATATTCTTCAATAATGTACACCTGACTAACCAAATAATGGAGCGTTAGCATGCACGCTTTCTCCCCCGCAAAACACTTAAGTCCCCTTTCGTTTCATAGAAATGGACGTTGACATGGCTATCCCCTCTTCCAACCCCACGCCGGCAGTCCGGACCAACGCAGCAGTAGCACCGCGAGCATCAGCACCACCGATTGCGGCACCACGATCTG